GTCTTCCTGTGTGAAGCGCCAGACCCATTCACACTATGAAACGATGATGATGATCTATGTTCAGGGCTGCATTACAACATTGATTGTTCGGATCACTGGTATCTAAGTCTTCCGCTGTGCTATCTTATACCTTGTATTGAAAGGTCGGTTCTTGTTCTGGTCTGCACCTATACGGTATGCAACACTGTCTCACCTTCTAGCTCCTTTGGCTTCCTCTGTGACTCACTCACCTGGCGCCCTATACCTGATGTGCCCCTTCATGACTTCAGTTCCCCTGCCCATCCGCCGCTGGCACGAACTGGGCTCTCCGATCTGTTTCCGAGTTGTGCCAGTCTTTCCAGCACACTCTGTCATTCCGTAACTCAGCCACCTTACCATTCGCCAGCCATTGCCTGGTGAACTTCTTCCTGACCTTTTCTTGCTGCTGCTCATCCTCAGGCATCGACTGTTTTAACCTCTGCCATCTGCAGAGAATTTCAGCCTGTAGCATAGATCTCGTCTCCGCCCATACCTTATCTCTTGGGTTGGAGAGTCCTTCGATAGTTCTGCAGCACCTCTCCTTCCGGATGATCCATAAAGTTACTTTCCTGATCAGGCCGAACCACAATCTTTCCTTCTTTTGAAGCTGATTTCCGGGATGTTAGTCCAGAGGAGGATTTGGATAGGGTGTTCGGGGAAGGGGGTATGGAAAAGGGAATCCCAGAGAGCTGAGGCTCGTGCCCAGTAGCCCGTCGCCTCGCTACATTGGATTAGGCAGTGAACTATGTCCTCTTGAACCCCTTCTGCACAGACTGTGCATAGGTCTAAGCTCGTGGGGTCAGTTTTATGCCGTCTTATATGCAGCCATTGATTCACTGGCAGTGCTGCATAGGTGATAAGCCACTGAAGGCTTCTGATTTTTGTAGGTCTGATTGTTTTACCTTTCTTCCAAGGGATCTGTGTAATTTTATAGGCTTCCTGGCCTATTAGTTTCTGCCATCTGCTTTTGATTATGGGGTCTGGGTCCTTAGTTTTGATTAGAAGTTTGTAACCGAGTTTGACTGTGTATTCGTATATGGGGACAGTAGACTTGATATGCCTCTCCTTGTCCGGTGTCCAGGCCCACTCTGCCCGGTCGAATTCCAAATTCTGGACTGGCGTGTCGGGCCTGAAGATTGATCTGGGCCACGATCCGAGTACTCTTATTTTCCTAAGGAGAAAGGAGTCCATGACTACTAATTCCACCTCTTTATTTAGAATGGATGGCATGCCGTGGGTGGATGGGGAAATCGGGAAGGAGTAAAAAGCTATAGTGGTCGATCCCAGTTGCATATGGGAGAATTGGAAGGCTCGTAAGGGAGGGGATTCTTGCACCTTGACCCCCCACTCCCCGGTCTTCCAAGGCAGCGCTTCGGCCAGGATATCTTTCCAGTCTTGTGGGATGAGCCTAATAATGTATTGGAGGTTAGGTCCTCGCCTATGGCATCCCTTTAAACGTGTGCTCAGTTCGTGTTCAGTTAACCATTCTTTCCTTTCCTTGCTCCATAGGTGACTTACTCTCCATACCCCATTCTCTACCCATGATAGCCATCTGTGATCTAGCTGCAGGGGATTATTGCCTTCGTCTGTCACCCAATGGTTGCCGAACAGCGGTTGTCTCAAGACCTCGTCTTTGGACCTTGGTCTATTAATCTTCTTTGGCAGGATTTCTCTCCATATTCTGATCAAGGCAGTCCAGTATGGGGTGAGATGAGTGACTTCCTCACCTCTGATTCCTCTTCTCGGTTTTCTCCACCTTGTCTTGGGACTCCATTCCTTTGTCATGACCCAAAACAGACCCATCATGTTTTCCGGGGAGGCCACTGGAGCCAGCGCTCTGATGCTGTCTAACGCTAATTATTCCATGCGTTATCCGGCTTCATCAGAAGCTTGATTATCCATTTAGCTTGGAGGGCCCTTGTTTCCTGTCTAGGGTCTATAATCCCTAGCCCCCCGTGCAGTGGTTTCCTC